AGATGTTCCAAAAATGTTTAGGAGAAGAATGAGGAGTATACATCTTCCTAAAGTGGAATATGGCAGCATGAAATTACGGTAACTGGATTAAGTTCAGTATAAAGTCCTGAAATTTCAAGAAACGTATCTAGCAGTAAACTACAGGGGAATGTTCATATTGCCTCGCATTTTGCCTGGTTGTTTTAAGTAAATGCACATAAGATATTGCCTGTCCCATGTTGTATTGGTCTAAAAATGATTCTTCTTCAGATATCCAGAGTCAGGCCTGGTCTGTGAGTGATGGAAAAAGAGTAGCCCAGTCAGGGCCCAGCAAACTTTTTTCAGCTGCAAGAAGCAATGGGAGATCCTAAGAAAACACAGGGGAAAGGTGGTGTAAGAAAGGAAAAAAGAGAAATGAGTAGGAAGAGGGAAGTGAAAGAATGAGCGAGGACAGGTAATTAACATTTCTTGTGGGCTTTATTTCATTTAATCTCTATTATGCCCACGAGACAGTATCATTCGAGATATGAGAATCATTTGAGTCTCAGAGGGATAAGAAAATCGTGTAAGGTCAAGAGGTAGAATGCTATGGTATAGGTTCCCAATAACCTGTTCTGTGACATTGCCATCAGGTCCGTGGATATGATAAAAGGTTGGTATTTATTAATCACCTACTGTGTATTAGGTACTGCTGAGAGCAGAAAGAAAAGCAGCTTGTTTGCAGCCTCTGATGTCGTGGTTTGCTGCCCAACAGCTGTAGTCAGGGGCAGACCTAGGTTTTGTGGGGCCTGAAGCTTTTTTTTTTTTTTTGGAGGGGTGAGCTCTTTAAGAAAAGAATATAAATTTTAAAAATACAAGTTTAAGTACAGGGCCTTCAAAGGAGCCTGTGCAAGCAATGAGCCCTGAAGCTTAAACTTCTTTAGCACCATAGGAAATCCATCTCTGGTATAGCAATAGTTCATCAATTCATTTCATTTAAAAAGTGTCACCGTGGTGCCTCAAAAATGTTCATTTGGGAAATCAGGGGAAGGGGAGGGATGGGACGGCGTTGAGGTGGGAAAGTCAAACACACAGCTCAAACTAATCCATAAGTTCCATTCTAATAATAGTGCAAAAGACTGATTGTAAATGAGATTTTTCAATTCCCTTTTGTTTATCCCATTTTGCTAAAAAAATTCCCTTTTTGTTAAAATAGTTAAAAGAGAGAGAGCTTTTATTTTGAGTTCAAATAAACAAATAACACTGGATCTTCATACAAGCTTTTTCTGGTCTGGAGGACTCTGCTGTTTCCAATCAAGATCTGTTGTCAAGGTGATAAGCTCTGCATTTCTGGATTTAGAATAAAAATTCCTCTAACGTATTTTATAATCTGGTGATCTTGGGCTTTGACCAGATCCGGCGGATGGGGGTGAGCCGATTCAGAAGCATGCTCTGCACTCCAATGTCTGTTGTGTTTTCCTGTGTATCAGACCCACCTGGGGAGCTTGTGAAAACCTTTCTGCCCTTTCCTTCTTGTTCTAATGTAGGAGGAATCCTGTAGAGACCGGTCAATTCTGATGCAGTCAATTCCCAGGCGGCTCCCTGCTAAAAACTGCTCTAAAAACAACCCTGTTTCATGAGGGAGGGATTGTAAACGTTCTTAACAAAAAGGGAAACCGAGGAACAGGAAAGTGAGAGACTTGCTCTAGGTCACCTAGCAAGTTTATGTCTCAGCAGAACATTCTGCCTCTAGGAAAGTCTGCCAAAGGTTACATACTGAGGAAAAGAGCACATTTCTAGGAGAAGAGAGAGCAATCTGACAAACGGTAGAGGTTTGGGGAAAGGGGTGGTCGTTATGGGATGGAATGTGTTGATTTTAATTGACAACAGGCTTAGGGCACATAAGGGTGTACGAGAACTAATGAACAGCACGGAGACTTTTAAAAAGGATGCTGTGAGTTTTGGCAAGGGGGAAAAATAGAGATTTTGTACCCATGGAGGATAGACTCTGGGCCTGAGTGAAGGGATGCTACGGCACAAACAAGGAACAGAGTCTGCCGTCTGGGTGAGGGGGGGTGGGGGCAGGGGGGGATTTGCACAGCACCCCGCAGGTCACAGGCCCTCAATCAGTGTTTGTTGAAGGAATTTGCAAAGGAGGAGAGTATAATGTTGCCTCGATTTGATAACTACCATGTTCCTGGTTGCCATGATCCTCGCGTGGGACACAAGCCAGGAATCCCATAAGCAAAAACAGACAATGTGACGTAATAACCAAGTTTGGACGCTGGTTAAGACTGTCAGAGACGTGGGCCCAGTAGTGAAACCAGCCTGAGATGAGAATGCAGACTCACCCCCTTAAAATCACTTCCCCAATCATCTGGGGAGTGTGTGTGTCGGGGGGAGGTGGGGTGTCTCAGTGTTGGGGGTGGGAGGGAAGGAGTGAGTTCATCTGTTTAATGAAAAATGACCTGAACGATTCTCTGATCCTGGAAACTCCCATGTAACTGAGGCCAAGGAAAATAGGATTAGGTCTTACTACTTCTACGATGGCTTTGCATCTTCTCAGAATGAGTTAAACTGGAGGGAACAGAAAAAGAAGGGAATCTCATGTCATTGTGCCTGCAGATAAAGGAGACTTAATGGGACAGATTTCCCCCTGGTCTCCTTCAGACAGTTTTACTTTGGCTTCCTTTGCCTTTTCAATGGACACCCCCGTTTCTTTGCTATGTGTTCATAATCACAGAAGGTTTGCTCTAACCCCCTTTGGCATTCTGCCTTCTGACAAGCTACTGATTTCAGGGCTAATATTCCCCCTCTGACTTCTTCAAGGGAGCAGCTTTTGCCCTGAAGCATGAGGGTGTTAAAACCACAACAAACATCTTTGCCAGAATGGCAGCTACGGACATGTAATTCTCTATGTGACCTAATGGGGTGGCACTTTTCAAGATTTTTCTGCTTTGAGTTTTGGGGACACAGTTTTTTCTTCAGAGCAGGTTTTAGGATTGCCAAAAGTGCGCATAAAAAATAAAAAACATCACAATGATTGGGATGTCATGATCTCTTTGGTGCCCCAATTCTTCAAACCGTCCTTTTAACAGGAGAACCAGATGAGTAAGTCCACAGGCCATTGTCTTTTTAATGCAATGTATATTTATTGTAAACAATAATATACAAAAAAAAAGAAAGGAAGAGAAAAAGGAAAGGTAAGTTTCACAGAGAAAACAAAAGGTTTGGGGGGGAAAACAAGCAAAACAAACAAAACACAAACACAAACCAAACCTTACCTAAAGACAAAATATGATTTAAATGCCAGGTTTCTTAAGTTACAGGAATATTTTTTTAAAAAAAAGATCTGCTTTTATACAGAAATGGAAAGATGCCATATTATAAGAGTGCTTTAAGATTTTACTCTACTGACTTCTAAAACTGTTAATATATCTTTTTTTAAATAAAAAAAAAAGTTTGCTGTCTTTTTTAAAAAGCAATCCTCACTCTCCAGCCACAGAACTGAGAATTAAGGTCTGTCAGTGGGCTGCCCCCCTCCCCGTTCCTCCCCCTCTCCAAGAGAACACGAAGGGGAACATCGATGACACACGCTTTTGACACATTGAGTCACAACACGCACACGCACACGCACACACACAGTTTAGGCAGCCCAAAGATCTGTGGCAGAAAACACTGCAAATGACTCAGTGATACACTACATCTGCAAACTCTCATTTGTACAAAAAGAGAAACAAGTTTCCAGTTTGTTTTCAACAAAACAACAAAGAGGAAAAAAAAAGGACAGACAAAAAGGCATTTATACAAATCTAGGACAAGGAATACAAAGAAACTTGTTTTTAATAAAAAAAGATTAAAGAGATAAATAAAAAAAAACTGGTTACAGTTAAGGACATAATTTAACAACAGATGACCATACCCTTTGAGGACGCGGCTCCAACGACCTACTTTAAAGAAGGTAAATTTAAAAAATAAAAAAAAAAGAGGAAGATTTTTTTTGTTGTTTTTAATTAAAACCTCTCCTTACAAAATAAATAATTTTAGCACATGGAATGTCTTGAAGTTAACTGCTGGTTTTCAGAGAGGCACAGGTGACAGTGTAAGTGAGAGGATTCTAGCATCTGTGTTCCACATGGGGCCCGGGCAGGCAACCAGGGGGCAGTGTGCTGGGGCACAGTATTGGCTGCTGAAACATTCCCCAAACAGATTTCGTCTCCTTTGCTTGCTTTTTGCTTCTTTCTTAAGGTTGCGGTGAGCGAGCAAACACAGGAGGATAAATGCACTAGAAGAGGGCACAAGGATTTTCCAGCAGCATGGTTTTAAGGCTTTAAGGTGTTTTTCTCGTTTAAAAAACATATATATGATAAAGCTTACCAAATCGTCTCTAGACTACTGTTTACTTCCGTATTTGCAAAATAAGGCCTTGATTTTTCTAAGGCAACTCCTCCTTGAATCCGAAAGCCTGAGGAATTAAGCAAAGCTAACCCCCCAAACTGATCACGTGACACAAATCTGTGGCTTCCGTAGGTTAATACAACACACACACTTTTTTTTTTGTCTGTTTGTCTGTAAGAGAAAGCAAATCTGTACAAAAATACTCTGGTTGCAAGAAAAGCTAGAGCACGCTGTTTGACTAAGTAGTTTAGCTGTTGGAAAAATAAGAGCATTTAATTTTTTTTATCTAAAAATATGTATAAATCCCCTCAAAATGGTAATGAATCATACACAGTACATACTAAAAATATTTAAAATAGAGAATATTCCTCACAGAGGACTTTTTTCTTTAATTACTGCTAAAAAATAATTACAAAGTCCAAACAGGCAGAGACTGAGCCAACTGGTCACACGAATCTCCATCACCCTCCACGCTTGCTTTGAAGGTTTCCAGTCCAGTTTCCCGTCGGTTCTGCTGGTCCGTCTAGCCAAGAGTGGCCTGGCCACTGATTCGCAACAAGGTGGTAATGCGTTTGGATAGTCAATGTTTCTGTCTTGTAATCTGAGTTCGACTTGCCTTCACCGTACATGTCTTTAAAGGTAAGAAAAAAAAAAATGTCCAAAGGAAATTCTGGTTGGTTGCGTTATTTCTTGGGTTCTTTTTACGATCGTCATGGCCATCGTTGCTCTCTCAGCGTTCCTCAAGGTCTGGTGAGCTGTGTGTAGACGGGCTGTTCCCAGTGCTGGGGGCTGTGGGTCTGCGGGATGGAAGGGACCCCGGAGGTGTCGGCGATGGGGGTGTACATGGGCCGCTGCGCCGGGTTCATGTAGGTGAAGGTGGAGTAGAGGCCGGAGCCCTGGCCCGCCGCATGGCTGTAGTAGGAGCCAGAGTTCTGGTGGTCAGTGTAGTCGTACTGCGAGCGGGTGATGGGCGGGTAGGACGGGCTGTAGTGCGGGAGGCTGAAGGGGCTGTAGGCGATCTGCTGAGGCGAGTGCTGCTGCTGCTCGCTGTAGTGGCTGGGACTCAGCTGCTCCGTCTTGATGTGCGTTCGCTGGGCCTGGCCCGGCTCGCTGCTCAGCGTGGTCAGCGTGTGCGCCTGCGCCGGCGGCTGCGGGGGCGCCTGCGCGGACGGCTGGGGGGGCGCCTGCGCGGGCGGCTGTGGGGGCGCCGGCGGGGCCGGCGGGGGCGCCTGCGGGGGCGGCGGCGGCGCCTGCTGCTTGGACATCCACACGTGGCTAGCGCCCGCCGGGGTGGCGGCTGTGCTGCTGATGCCGTAGCTGCCCGTGTAGGTGACCTGGCCGTGCGTGGCCGGCACCCCCGGGTGGCCATTGGGCGGAAGGTACTGGTCGAACTCGTTCACGTCGAAGGTCTCGATGTTGGAGATGACGTCGCTGCTCAGCTCGCCGATGTCCACGTCGCGGAAGTCGATGGGGGGCTGTCTGCCCCCCTCTGGCAGCGGGCGCCCCTCTCGCTTCAGGTCAGCCTTGCCCGGCTGCACGTCGGTTTTGGGGGTGGTGGGTGGCGTCGGTGGACCCTGCGATTGCCCTGAGGACGATAGAGGAAGAAACACAGGGCAGTCAACCAGGGCTGTACGGAGGCTTTAGTCTCAGGAACCCTCCTGGGACCCCCTCCCCCCCCCTCCGCTAAAGTGTCCCGTATCTGCGGGGGAGGCGCGCTGCGCCCGAGAGAAATCGCTGAATGATTAACTCGCCAGTACACACTCGGCAGTCTCCTTTTATCAGGGGAGGGGGTCTGAGGCCCGGAGGGTCCGGAAGACCAAATTGCTACTTGTACAAGAGCCCTATGTGTGCTTTTGGGCTGGGGGAGCAAAAAGAAAAAGGGAGAAGCCCTGTAAAGCTGTAAAGGCATTTTACCCCGCAATAAAAATTACTGTTAGAATGCAGGGATTAGGTTGGGGGTGTGTGTGTGTGTGTGTGTGTGTGTGTGTGTGTGTGTGTGTGTGTTTTCAGGGGCTTGGCGCAGGGGTTAGTGTGTTTCCCTCCCCAGGGTGCGCCAGGTCCCTAAGCGGGTGTGTGTGTGTGTGTGTGTGTGTGTGTGTTTTCAGGGGCTTGGCGCAGGGGTTAGTGTGTTTCCCTCCCCAGGGTGCGCCAGGTCCCTAAGCCAGTGAAAAGTAGATGGAGATCAGGAGAGAAAAAGCGAGTTCATGAAGGTCCCACCAAAGTTATTCCTAAATCCATCATCTACCTTGACCCTCCGCCATTCTAGACCAGGCCACCATCATCCTTCACCTGGATGGCTACAATAACCTCCCAACTGGCCCTAATGAGTTGCATTTTTTTTCATAGCACGTGAACAAGAAAATATCAAGGAGTACTATTTGTTTTCGCCTGTCTTCTTCACTCCAAAATGGAAACCCCATGAGGGCATGGGTTATCTCTGTCTTGTTCACTGCTGAATCCTGACCCACAGGAGATGTTCCAAAAATGTTTAGGAGAAGAATGAGGAGTATACATCTTCCTAAAGTGGAATATGGCAGCATGAAATTACGGTAACTGGATTAAGTTCAGTATAAAGTCCTGAAATTTCAAGAAACGTATCTAGCAGTAAACTACAGGGGAATGTTCATATTGCCTCGCATTTTGCCTGGTTGTTTTAAGTAAATGCACATAAGATATTGCCTGTCCCATGTTGTATTGGTCTAAAAATGATTCTTCTTCAGATATCCAGAGTCAGGCCTGGTCTGTGAGTGATGGAAAAAGAGTAGCCCAGTCAGGGCCCAGCAAACTTTTTTCAGCTGCAAGAAGCAATGGGAGATCCTAAGAAAACACAGGGGAAAGGTGGTGTAAGAAAGGAAAAAAGAGAAATGAGTAGGAAGAGGGAAGTGAAAGAATGAGCGAGGACAGGTAATTAACATTTCTTGTGGGCTTTATTTCATTTAATCTCTATTATGCCCACGAGACAGTATCATTCGAGATATGAGAATCATTTGAGTCTCAGAGGGATAAGAAAATCGTGTAAGGTCAAGAGGTAGAATGCTATGGTATAGGTTCCCAATAACCTGTTCTGTGACATTGCCATCAGGTCCGTGGATATGATAAAAGGTTGGTATTTATTAATCACCTACTGTGTATTAGGTACTGCTGAGAGCAGAAAGAAAAGCAGCTTGTTTGCAGCCTCTGATGTCGTGGTTTGCTGCCCAACAGCTGTAGTCAGGGGCAGACCTAGGTTTTGTGGGGCCTGAAGCTTTTTTTTTTTTTTTGGAGGGGTGAGCTCTTTAAGAAAAGAATATAAATTTTAAAAATACAAGTTTAAGTACAGGGCCTTCAAAGGAGCCTGTGCAAGCAATGAGCCCTGAAGCTTAAACTTCTTTAGCACCATAGGAAATCCATCTCTGGTATAGCAATAGTTCATCAATTCATTTCATTTAAAAAGTGTCACCGTGGTGCCTCAAAAATGTTCATTTGGGAAATCAGGGGAAGGGGAGGGATGGGACGGCGTTGAGGTGGGAAAGTCAAACACACAGCTCAAACTAATCCATAAGTTCCATTCTAATAATAGTGCAAAAGACTGATTGTAAATGAGATTTTTCAATTCCCTTTTGTTTATCCCATTTTGCTAAAAAAATTCCCTTTTTGTTAAAATAGTTAAAAGAGAGAGAGCTTTTATTTTGAGTTCAAATAAACAAATAACACTGGATCTTCATACAAGCTTTTTCTGGTCTGGAGGACTCTGCTGTTTCCAATCAAGATCTGTTGTCAAGGTGATAAGCTCTGCATTTCTGGATTTAGAATAAAAATTCCTCTAACGTATTTTATAATCTGGTGATCTTGGGCTTTGACCAGATCCGGCGGATGGGGGTGAGCCGATTCAGAAGCATGCTCTGCACTCCAATGTCTGTTGTGTTTTCCTGTGTATCAGACCCACCTGGGGAGCTTGTGAAAACCTTTCTGCCCTTTCCTTCTTGTTCTAATGTAGGAGGAATCCTGTAGAGACCGGTCAATTCTGATGCAGTCAATTCCCAGGCGGCTCCCTGCTAAAAACTGCTCTAAAAACAACCCTGTTTCATGAGGGAGGGATTGTAAACGTTCTTAACAAAAAGGGAAACCGAGGAACAGGAAAGTGAGAGACTTGCTCTAGGTCACCTAGCAAGTTTATGTCTCAGCAGAACATTCTGCCTCTAGGAAAGTCTGCCAAAGGTTACATACTGAGGAAAAGAGCACATTTCTAGGAGAAGAGAGAGCAATCTGACAAACGGTAGAGGTTTGGGGAAAGGGGTGGTCGTTATGGGATGGAATGTGTTGATTTTAATTGACAACAGGCTTAGGGCACATAAGGGTGTACGAGAACTAATGAACAGCACGGAGACTTTTAAAAAGGATGCTGTGAGTTTTGGCAAGGGGGAAAAATAGAGATTTTGTACCCATGGAGGATAGACTCTGGGCCTGAGTGAAGGGATGCTACGGCACAAACAAGGAACAGAGTCTGCCGTCTGGGTGAGGGGGGGTGGGGGCAGGGGGGGATTTGCACAGCACCCCGCAGGTCACAGGCCCTCAATCAGTGTTTGTTGAAGGAATTTGCAAAGGAGGAGAGTATAATGTTGCCTCGATTTGATAACTACCATGTTCCTGGTTGCCATGATCCTCGCGTGGGACACAAGCCAGGAATCCCATAAGCAAAAACAGACAATGTGACGTAATAACCAAGTTTGGACGCTGGTTAAGACTGTCAGAGACGTGGGCCCAGTAGTGAAACCAGCCTGAGATGAGAATGCAGACTCACCCCCTTAAAATCACTTCCCCAATCATCTGGGGAGTGTGTGTGTCGGGGGGAGGTGGGGTGTCTCAGTGTTGGGGGTGGGAGGGAAGGAGTGAGTTCATCTGTTTAATGAAAAATGACCTGAACGATTCTCTGATCCTGGAAACTCCCATGTAACTGAGGCCAAGGAAAATAGGATTAGGTCTTACTACTTCTACGATGGCTTTGCATCTTCTCAGAATGAGTTAAACTGGAGGGAACAGAAAAAGAAGGGAATCTCATGTCATTGTGCCTGCAGATAAAGGAGACTTAATGGGACAGATTTCCCCCTGGTCTCCTTCAGACAGTTTTACTTTGGCTTCCTTTGCCTTTTCAATGGACACCCCCGTTTCTTTGCTATGTGTTCATAATCACAGAAGGTTTGCTCTAACCCCCTTTGGCATTCTGCCTTCTGACAAGCTACTGATTTCAGGGCTAATATTCCCCCTCTGACTTCTTCAAGGGAGCAGCTTTTGCCCTGAAGCATGAGGGTGTTAAAACCACAACAAACATCTTTGCCAGAATGGCAGCTACGGACATGTAATTCTCTATGTGACCTAATGGGGTGGCACTTTTCAAGATTTTTCTGCTTTGAGTTTTGGGGACACAGTTTTTTCTTCAGAGCAGGTTTTAGGATTGCCAAAAGTGCGCATAAAAAATAAAAAACATCACAATGATTGGGATGTCATGATCTCTTTGGTGCCCCAATTCTTCAAACCGTCCTTTTAACAGGAGAACCAGATGAGTAAGTCCACAGGCCATTGTCTTTTTAATGCAATGTATATTTATTGTAAACAATAATATACAAAAAAAAAGAAAGGAAGAGAAAAAGGAAAGGTAAGTTTCACAGAGAAAACAAAAGGTTTGGGGGGGAAAACAAGCAAAACAAACAAAACACAAACACAAACCAAACCTTACCTAAAGACAAAATATGATTTAAATGCCAGGTTTCTTAAGTTACAGGAATATTTTTTTAAAAAAAAGATCTGCTTTTATACAGAAATGGAAAGATGCCATATTATAAGAGTGCTTTAAGATTTTACTCTACTGACTTCTAAAACTGTTAATATATCTTTTTTTAAATAAAAAAAAAAGTTTGCTGTCTTTTTTAAAAAGCAATCCTCACTCTCCAGCCACAGAACTGAGAATTAAGGTCTGTCAGTGGGCTGCCCCCCTCCCCGTTCCTCCCCCTCTCCAAGAGAACACGAAGGGGAACATCGATGACACACGCTTTTGACACATTGAGTCACAACACGCACACGCACACGCACACACACAGTTTAGGCAGCCCAAAGATCTGTGGCAGAAAACACTGCAAATGACTCAGTGATACACTACATCTGCAAACTCTCATTTGTACAAAAAGAGAAACAAGTTTCCAGTTTGTTTTCAACAAAACAACAAAGAGGAAAAAAAAAGAAGGACAGACAAAAAGGCATTTATACAAATCTAGGACAAGGAATACAAAGAAACTTGTTTTTAATAAAAAAAGATTAAAGAGATAAATAAAAAAAAACTGGTTACAGTTAAGGACATAATTTAACAACAGATGACCATACCCTTTGAGGACGCGGCTCCAACGACCTACTTTAAAGAAGGTAAATTTAAAAAATAAAAAAAAAAGAGGAAGATTTTTTTTGTTGTTTTTAATTAAAACCTCTCCTTACAAAATAAATAATTTTAGCACATGGAATGTCTTGAAGTTAACTGCTGGTTTTCAGAGAGGCACAGGTGACAGTGTAAGTGAGAGGATTCTAGCATCTGTGTTCCACATGGGGCCCGGGCAGGCAACCAGGGGGCAGTGTGCTGGGGCACAGTATTGGCTGCTGAAACATTCCCCAAACAGATTTCGTCTCCTTTGCTTGCTTTTTGCTTCTTTCTTAAGGTTGCGGTGAGCGAGCAAACACAGGAGGATAAATGCACTAGAAGAGGGCACAAGGATTTTCCAGCAGCATGGTTTTAAGGCTTTAAGGTGTTTTTCTCGTTTAAAAAACATATATATGATAAAGCTTACCAAATCGTCTCTAGACTACTGTTTACTTCCGTATTTGCAAAATAAGGCCTTGATTTTTCTAAGGCAACTCCTCCTTGAATCCGAAAGCCTGAGGAATTAAGCAAAGCTAACCCCCCAAACTGATCACGTGACACAAATCTGTGGCTTCCGTAGGTTAATACAACACACACACTTTTTTTTTTGTCTGTTTGTCTGTAAGAGAAAGCAAATCTGTACAAAAATACTCTGGTTGCAAGAAAAGCTAGAGCACGCTGTTTGACTAAGTAGTTTAGCTGTTGGAAAAATAAGAGCATTTAATTTTTTTTATCTAAAAATATGTATAAATCCCCTCAAAATGGTAATGAATCATACACAGTACATACTAAAAATATTTAAAATAGAGAATATTCCTCACAGAGGACTTTTTTCTTTAATTACTGCTAAAAAATAATTACAAAGTCCAAACAGGCAGAGACTGAGCCAACTGGTCACACGAATCTCCATCACCCTCCACGCTTGCTTTGAAGGTTTCCAGTCCAGTTTCCCGTCGGTTCTGCTGGTCCGTCTAGCCAAGAGTGGCCTGGCCACTGATTCGCAACAAGGTGGTAATGCGTTTGGATAGTCAATGTTTCTGTCTTGTAATCTGAGTTCGACTTGCCTTCACCGTACATGTCTTTAAAGGTAAGAAAAAAAAAAATGTCCAAAGGAAATTCTGGTTGGTTGCGTTATTTCTTGGGTTCTTTTTACGATCGTCATGGCCATCGTTGCTCTCTCAGCGTTCCTCAAGGTCTGGTGAGCTGTGTGTAGACGGGCTGTTCCCAGTGCTGGGGGCTGTGGGTCTGCGGGATGGAAGGGACCCCGGAGGTGTCGGCGATGGGGGTGTACATGGGCCGCTGCGCCGGGTTCATGTAGGTGAAGGTGGAGTAGAGGCCGGAGCCCTGGCCCGCCGCATGGCTGTAGTAGGAGCCAGAGTTCTGGTGGTCAGTGTAGTCGTACTGCGAGCGGGTGATGGGCGGGTAGGACGGGCTGTAGTGCGGGAGGCTGAAGGGGCTGTAGGCGATCTGCTGAGGCGAGTGCTGCTGCTGCTCGCTGTAGTGGCTGGGACTCAGCTGCTCCGTCTTGATGTGCGTTCGCTGGGCCTGGCCCGGCTCGCTGCTCAGCGTGGTCAGCGTGTGCGCCTGCGCCGGCGGCTGCGGGGGCGCCTGCGCGGACGGCTGGGGGGGGCGCCTGCGCGGGCGGCTGTGGGGGCGCCGGCGGGGCCGGCGGGGGCGCCTGCGGGGGCGGCGGCGGCGCCTGCTGCTTGGACATCCACACGTGGCTAGCGCCCGCCGGGGTGGCGGCTGTGCTGCTGATGCCGTAGCTGCCCGTGTAGGTGACCTGGCCGTGCGTGGCCGGCACCCCCGGGTGGCCATTGGGCGGAAGGTACTGGTCGAACTCGTTCACGTCGAAGGTCTCGATGTTGGAGATGACGTCGCTGCTCAGCTCGCCGATGTCCACGTCGCGGAAGTCGATGGGGGGCTGTCTGCCCCCCTCTGGCAGCGGGCGCCCCTCTCGCTTCAGGTCAGCCTTGCCCGGCTGCACGTCGGTTTTGGGGGTGGTGGGTGGCGTCGGTGGACCCTGCGATTGCCCTGAGGACGATAGAGGAAGAAACACAGGGCAGTCAACCAGGGCTGTACGGAGGCTTTAGTCTCAGGAACCCTCCTGGGACCCCCTCCCCCCCCCTCCGCTAAAGTGTCCCGTATCTGCGGGGGAGGCGCGCTGCGCCCGAGAGAAATCGCTGAATGATTAACTCGCCAGTACACACTCGGCAGTCTCCTTTTATCAGGGGAGGGGGTCTGAGGCCCGGAGGGTCCGGAAGACCAAATTGCTACTTGTACAAGAGCCCTATGTGTGCTTTTGGGCTGGGGGAGCAAAAAGAAAAAGGGAGAAGCCCTGTAAAGCTGTAAAGGCATTTTACCCCGCAATAAAAATTACTGTTAGAATGCAGGGATTAGGTTGGGGGTGTGTGTGTGTGTGTGTGTGTGTGTGTGTGTGTGTGTGTTTTCAGGGGCTTGGCGCAGGGGTTAGTGTGTTTCCCTCCCCAGGGTGCGCCAGGTCCCTAAGCGGGTGTGTGTGTGTGTGTGTGTGTGTGTGTGTTTTCAGGGGCTTGGCGCAGGGGTTAGTGTGTTTCCCTCCCCAGGGTGCGCCAGGTCCCTAAGCAGAGCCCACTAGGTAGCTGGGGGCCCGGTGGCCAGGCCGGGGTGGAGGCCGGGAGGAGACTCACCGGAGTGCTCGCCGGGGGAGTGGACCTCGCTCATGCCGGAGGAGGAGTGCGGCGAATCGGCCTGCAGCGCCTTGAAGATGGCGTTGGGGGAGATGTGCGTCTGCTCCGTGGCCTCCTCGGCCTCCGCCTGGCCGTTCTTCACCGACTTCCTCCGCCGCGGCTGGTACTTGTAATCCGGGTGGTCCTTCTTGTGCTGCACGCGCAGCCGCTCCGCCTCCTCCACGAAGGGCCGCTTCTCGCTCTCATTCAGCAGTCTGGGGGCGGGGTGGGGGGGTAGCAGACAAAAAGAGGGAGAGAGAGAAAGAGAGAGAGGGAGGGGGGCTCCGTGAAACCGGCTGAGCTGTCAGGTCGGCGGGAGGGGGAGGTGACCCCCACCCCTCGGCTTCTTCGAACACAGCCCCCCTTCCTCCCTCCTCCCTGCTTTCCAACCACTACCGCAACTCGAAACCTTTCTTTAAAAAAAAAAAAATTAAAGAAAAGAAGAAAACAAAAATCTCCGTTCTTCTAGACCGACCTGAGCGGACCCTCCCCGCCCCGCCCTCTCCCCTTCTCTCCTAGTTTGGAAACCCTGGAGATGAAAATAGCTTTCCGCGGCTCCCGCTCTCCGGGCCTTTGCTACTGGAGTTATACCCGGCCCCCCTTCCGTCCGCAACACCCTTTAAAAACTTTCTGAAAAACCACTTAATCTGCAAGGAGCTCCTCCTGCCCGCCCCCACCCCCGCCACCGCACTCACGCACACTGCACCCACCTATTTCCAGCAGCCTCCCTTCTCGCCCCTCCTTCCTGCCACGGGGCCCTCTAGCCTCGGCTTCTCCCCCCACCCTGCATCCCATCTCCGTGGGCGAAGGGCTTCACGGGGGAGCGCAGTTCGAGGGAGGGGGAAGCGGATTTCAATTCCTTGGGATCGAACTTCACTGCGGCGGGAGATCCGGCCGGCAGCCCTCTCCCACCGAGTCTCCTGCTGGTGTTCTCCCCTCCTCTGGCCATCTTCCCCCCACCCCGCCCCCCCTCCCCGCTCCACCTACCCCCTCCCCCTTTCCCCCAAGAGCAATCCAAGAACTTTGTCAAACTCTGAGCCAAGTTACACCTCGTCCCCATTCCTCCCCCTCGCCTCCCCCCTGCCCCACCCCGCCTGCTCCGGGACCGGCAACTCCCTCCTGCTGGGAGGCGGGGCGCGGAGAGACGGTCCCGGCCAGCGCCCCCCGCCGCCGCCGCGGAACCCACCCTGCCGCGCCCGCCCTACCTCCAGAGTTTGCCCAGCGTCTTGCTGAGCTCGGCGTTGTGCAGGTGTGGGTACTGGTCGGCGAGCTTCCTGCGCGCCGCCTGCGCCCACACCATGAAGGCGTTCATGGGCCGCTTGACGTGCGGCTTGTTCTTGCTCGAGCCGTTGACGCGCACCGGCATGGGTACCAGCGTCCAGTCGTAGCCCTTGAGCACCTGGCTGACGGCCTCGCGGATGCACACGGGGAACTTGTCCTCTTCGCTCTCCTTCTTCAGGTCCGGCTCGCCCTTGGGGAACGTGTTCTCCTGGGGCCGCGTGTTCTCGGTGTCGGAGCCGGAGCCCGAAGGGCAGGGCGAGCCCGCCGAGTCCTCGGACATGGAGGGGCTGGGGGCGCCGGACAGGCCCTTCTCCTGCTCGTCGGTCATCTTCATGAAGGGGTCCAGGAGATTCATACGCAGGCCCGGGACAGGGGGCGGGTGGCCGGGAAAGGCGAGAAGCCGCGGCGGCTCGGGGGCTCGAGGCGCGGGCTACTCTCCCCTCGGCTGCCCGGACGCGGGGCGAGCGGCTCCCGGGGAGCCTGGCGCGTCACTCGGCCGCAGCGGCGAGCTTTTAGGAAGGCGCGCGGGGGCCAGCCCGCAGCTGCCCGCTCCAAGTGGGGGAAGGCGAACTGGAGAGGAGGGGGGAAAGAAAGCAAAAAGCGGGGGGCGACTGCACCCCTTCTCTCCTCCTCCTGCAAAGAAAAGTTCCTGGAGTGAAACTGGCAAGTCGCGGCGCCACTCAAGTTCCCAGTCAGTTTCAAGCTCCGCACTCCGCTCTCCAACTCCCAGCCCAGCGGCTCTTTAATAAATACACCCCCTCACCTTAGAGACGTCAGCCAATCACAGCACGGCATTTCAGGTTTCAGGGCTTGGCAGGCAGCTGATTGGACCCACTTCGGGGGGGAGGAGGATTGTGGCGCTGGGCAGGGTGTTGAGAGGGGAGGGGCGGAGCGGGGAGGGAGCGCAGCCGCTGGTCCGCCGGTGGGGGGTTGGGGGGGTGGGGTGCTGCGGGGAAAGCGGGGGACCCGGGACGTCCAAGTGTGTAAGTTTGCCGTGCTCTGGTAATGTCAGAATTCGGTGCCGTCTCCGCGCGAATCTTTGCGCGCCCGTGTGTGTGTGTGTGTGTGTGTGTGTGTGTGTGTGAAGACTAGGATCTCTCCCCACCCCCAAGCATTTCTGTTCGTTGTTTTCTCCGCGGTCCCGGGGACTTAGTCGGAGTTTGCCATATTCGAAAAGCTGTCGCTCCTGACTTAAATCATAGCCCAGTTTCCGCGCCTGGAGCCGGCCTCCGCCGAAAGCGCTTAGAAATTGTATTGCGAAGCAAAAGTTTTAGTGACTCAACGCCCGCCGTTCCTCGGTAATAATCCATATAAATAGATTTAACATGCTCTGGTTCGCCGGGGCTGGTGCGGCTGGTCGGGATTCGGCTGCGCTCCTGCAAAGGGAATCAATGAAAACCACAGCGAGGTCCCCGCTCAGGCTGGCGGCCGCAGCGACGCCGCAGCCCCGCGCTCGCGGGAGCCGTCCCGCGCGCCTCACCGACCTTGAACTCTGACAAGTCCTTCTCCAGCCGCCCCCTCCCCAGCCCCCCACCCCGCCGACCCTCCTCCGTGACAGGGCGACTGCTCGGAGGTTCTGCTTTTCACTTCTGGTCGAATCAGAACGTCAGCGGAGTTGCCCCTGGAAAGAGTTTGCATACTGCTCTGGCTTTGAGAAGTCGAACTTTGCGAATGTGGCTGTCCTGGGCCGCGAGGCTGAGGCCAGTCCCTTGGTTTGAAAAGGCCAAACCAATGGGCACCACTGCAGACAAAACACTTCACTTTGGTGGAGTCGTGCCGCTTTCGCCCTTTTTTTTTTTTTTTTTTTTACAAAACACCTGGAGCGGTGAAGCGCCTGTCGTCCTGACTTTAGTCGGGTCCTTTCTGACTTGCAGACGTTCCGGAGTTCTGGGGAGGGGGCTGGGGGTGTCTCTGATGTATTTCACGTGTGATTTGAGCACAACCTTTGTGTTTACACGAACTGCTTAGAGCTTGGTTGGCTCTCTGTTCTGGGAGAGAAGAAAAATCTTGGTCGCCTGCGGGTTACATGTCTCCAGAATCACAAATAAACGCACAACTGTGGAAAATTCAGTTTTAAATGTTCCCCCCACCCTTTTCTGGCTCTCGCCAATGTTCGCCTCCGAATTAAATTATTGTTAGTGTCCATCGGCCCGCATCATATCAAAGACTTCTTATTTCTAATTTGCAAATTGCGGACACTCTTGCAAGATTTCAAAGAATGTTTTCCTTGAAGAATTTTTTAAAATCTCGTTTTAAAAGAAAGTCTTTCTGAAGAAGTCAACATTTGTTACAGGAAATGGAACTCTTCAGAAGGTAGTCAGCTACAAACCTGTTAAACAATATTTACTTTTTAAACGAATGTAACTCACAAGTGGATGTCTTTAGTACCCTGTAGCTTGTTTACCCGTTTGAGAGACATCATACAATAGCCTTGTATTCATGGCTCCGTGAATACGCTCGGAAAGTATAAGAACAGCTTCGTCCTTTCTTAGGAGAAAAAAATCCCGGTTAGTATGGACTGATTTCTGTATCCTAGGGAGGGGACAGTTGTTAGTATAACTGTGCCTTCGCAGACACCTGACCCAGGAGGGGACTCAGAGGCCAGAACTTCGGGCAGAAGTTTTAACCAGGCCATCTGTATTTAGTCGCATTTTATTGTAATTCCCATGTTTACTGGCATAAAGGCAGTGAAGACGACTGTGACTTTAAGATATTTTGGAGGATTTCACTAAATATTTGTCAAGATAAATACGTACACATAATATATTCTTAGTACAATTACGTAATAGGAGATATGTAATATATCGCATTTTAAATCATAAGTTACCGGGGTGTATCCCTTTTCTGTTCGTTTGATGCCAGCATTTTTGTATCTTTTTGAAAACCTGTGGTAAACAATCAGTTGACTTTAAAAACGGACTGCAGTTTTTAGCTGTATCCAGAGGGGGCGCCAAAAGCCCAGAAACTGTCTGACACAGAAACTGCGGAAAACTTAGACGGTGGTGGAGAGGGGGTGGTGTGTTCCATTCAGTCAGGACTGCGTGTTGCTGCTGAGATTTATCTCGGCAGAAATTCCTACTCGATATCCCCTCCCGTGCGGATCCACCTCTGGGCATCCCAGTTAGGGGAACTGGGAGGTGTGTGTCTAGGGCACGGGGAAAAAAAAAAAAAAAAAAAGCGTTCGAGATGCCTGACGTTTCTGTTCTGCACAGAACGGGGACACCGAGACCACAATGACCCAGGGCTCCCAGGTGCCAAGCGTCGCCCTCTGCTCGGCGTGCCGGGACCAGGCCAATTCTGACTCGTGAGCACCGTCCATTAGCCAGTGGGGGCGATCCTGCCTTTCTGCAAGCGGTCGGGTGCCAACACTCCTCCACCTCTCTGCCGGGGCTCTTCTGCGTCGCCCTTGACCTCCCTAACCTGCCCAGGGAAGAACGCTCGCAGTCCCCGACCGGAGCACCTGAGTCAGAGAGAACCCGAGGGAAAGAAACCCGTGCCACAATGTTCCGCTTACAGATCGGGAAACTGAGGCTGTCGGCCCAGTTTCAGCCAGAGCGCTCTGCCTGGGAGCTAAACAGTCTAGTGGGGCTGAGGGAGGAAAAGGACGCAGATCAAGAAAAGGGGCAGGCGATGGACCGCACTCCACGGATCCCGAGTCGCGCGCTTGGGTCCCGCTCCGCAGCCAGCGCCGCGAGGTCTGCCGCCGGGAGCGGAGCCTTGGAGGTGCGAGCGGATCCCAAGGGGAACCTCGGGAAACCGAGGTCTGGGATACCCCCCCCACCCCACCACCACCACCACCACCACCACCGCCTCTCTACTTCTCGGCGTCGGGGGCCGGCGCCGGGCTCAATTTCCCCAGCCCGGGCGGCCAATCTCCCTCCGCGCCTACGCGGGAGCCCAGGCAGGAGCCCAGGGGTGCTGGCGCTGAGCAAGTTTCCCTGGCTCGGGGGGAGGGGGGGGCTGGCGCAAACGCCGGGGGTCTGGGGGGGGTTCCGTCTCGGATGGGGGTGGACGGTGTGAGCGGATGGGGTTCCCTTTGCCTGGGGAATTAAGGACCACGACCTCCCTCTACAAAATTCCTTAGCAAAAGTGGGGACTGTGTCTAAATCCGTTTTCTGCAGGGAGGCAAGTCCTGGAAGAAATTGGTCGGGGTGAGAGCGGCAGCATCTCCCAAAGATCTCAGCCCCGGGCAACGTTTTCTACATAAGTGCTCAGGACGAGGGATGCCCCTTCTCTGTGCCAGTTCCCCTGGCCTGGTTCCCTTGAGGTCAAAGACCCCAGTCCCTGGCGGAACACTTAGGTCCCTGGCCCTCCCTCCGCTGCCAACCGCTCCTTGGTAATTAGCAGTTTTCACTGGGCGTGGAGCCTGTTTGCCTGTCGCTCTTCGCGCCGGACACCAGTTCTCTTTGAAAAGGAGCGGCAGGTAAGCTTGTCCCAGGACAAGCGTTGGGCCGGACGGCAACAGCAAGAGAGCAGAGGAAAGTCCCAGGTCGCTTCGTTAGGTACGCAATAAATACCTGTTGACCGGCCAAGTAAATGTGATCTTTGGACATCGCAGGCCTCCGGACCTCCCGGCAACACGTTCCATAAACGCGTGTGACTGTATGTTTCTCCGTGTAAATTTCTCCCCAAACGGGCGCCCTACTCTGGGAGATTAACCGACCAGTGTCACCCAAGACTATATAATTCCAGCGCCCCTAAAACTGCAGGCCGAGAGGGGCATTTCAGTTTTCTTCCCCTCTCTGTTTTCGAAGAGAAAAGGGGGTGAGGTGGACGGGAGGAGGTGTCGGGTGACGGAGGCACGAATCGTCATGTGCTCCCCTGTGACCCGGCCGGGCCGGGGGCGCGGACCCTAGCCAAAGCAAGAGACTGGATGAGCTAGTCCAGGGCTGGCCGGCTATCCGAGGGGGAATGCAGGGGTCGGAGTGGGGAAGTCTCAGTCCCAGTCCCAAAGGGACTTGGCTTCCAAAGGGAGTGTGCGCTTTTTTTAAAAACCTTACTTTTTCGAAAATATCTGTTTTTAGTCAAGGTACAAGGGAGCCGCGCATCATTCGGATTGCTTCCACGCATGCATCCCCAGAACGGCCTGCGGGAAATTTCCTGGGCCAAGTGTTTTTTTTTTTTTGTCCCTCCACAATTTTCCTCTTTTAAAAATCTCTCAGGCATTTTCAGCTGAAGGTGCTTTTGCCTTGATGTTTCAAAAATACAAATAAAATAAGCGCTCGACGCAGCGGTGCCTCGGTTGCCGACGGCTCCACAGGGTCAGGGCGCTCACTTCAGCTCCCAGGAGTTTCCTCTGTAGATCAGATTCCCACCTGCCTCCCCTCGGGTCCCCTTTCGGTTCAGGGTGTGTTCGGTCCCAGGGAAGAAACCGACAGAAAAGAGCTGAGATTCTCAGGAGTTTTGTGCCGATTCCCCAAAGGGACGGCGGGTTCTAGAGCGAGGACTTAATCTCAGCCTGAGGGGACTCTAACAGCTGCTCCCTCTAAGATGTCCTCAGGGGTGGGCGATTATTTCGGATCTTTATGAATCTGGGAAATGTTTCCATCCAGCTACAAAAGGGAGAAATGCTATTATTGAACAATCACGCAAATAACTGTCAGAATTAAAGACAAATTGTCTTGTGTCTTTCTCGCAGTCCTTTTCTATCCCAGGGGCAGAACGCATCTCCCGGGTTTCTGGCACCTCTACGTTCTCAGGGCCAAGCCGGGCATCCTTCC